CACCTGCTCATTTATTCCACTTGGTCATTTCGGTCCAAACTAAAATGCCTTTGTCCATTTGGTGGGCTCTATAAGACAAGAAACAGTCTAGTCAATCCTGAGCTAAAAGTTGGACCCGTTCTAAATGGAACCGGTTCTGTGACCATATTCACAAAATATTTAATTTCTGCCCAAACAGATTAGAAATAAATGCAATTAATCTCCTCCACTCAACCTTTTGGACACACCAGGCTGCACGGCGAACTCTAGAATAAGATGGAACCCGACCAAAACAAAGGAATGACACATCAATCGATTTTTGCACGTGTCAACTCTAATGAAAGGGAGCCATCAAAGGTGGGTACCACCTTTCTACACGTGTCACCCTTTTGGCATCCAACACCAAATTTTCAAAGAGGCCTACTCCTTGCTCCTCGTCGCCATCTTCAGCCATAGGGTCGGACGTCCTATGGTCCTCTTTATAGTTTACAAGGACGTTCTTCTCATTTCAGTAACAAGGATTTTGTGGTCACCACCCACCCCACCCCACCCCTCTCTCTCTCAAAATAAAAACAAAGAAATAAAAATTGATACACTATTCATGCATGTGAACCATTATTTTGTTGGGTATTACAAGTAAATATAATATTTAGCAAATAACACATTATAGCATCCCAATAGAATCCAATAATTAATTTAAATCAATTTAATCAAATTATCATTTAGGGGGTGTTTGACAACATGATCGATTTTGTTTTCTTAAGACAAAAACAACTGCCACATCAGCAAAATTATATTATTTTTGCTGATGTAGCAGTTGTTTTTGATTTCAAAAGAAAACCATATTGTCGACCACCCTTAAATATTAGTAATTTAAGAATGATTTGGTACTAAACGCGGAATGGGAAAATGCTTAAATAGGATTCATGTAGTTTGAGACAAGTATAGATGATGAAAATTTGGCATATTAAATCATTAATATTCTATTCTTTATATTAAATCAAATTATTAATTAAAAACTACATTGTATTGGATGCATGGGATGCAAGAAGATCCATGAATGATAAGCTAAGACACAAATTATGTGCTAGAACAGTGCAACTAATGCCACTACGGAATTTAAGAAATCCTTTTATATATATATATATATATATATTGATGATTCAATGCATTCACTATCATATGATTCTGTCTTACTGAAAATAAATTATATTTTCATATGTGTTGGTTTTCCCATTTCTAGGAAA